ATCTCTCCTTCGGTGATCAAAGAACATGGTGATGGGGAGTTGTCGTCTCTTTCTTTCATTTCTTCCATGATGTTTTTGTATGGAGCAAAAACGTCATCCATCCCTCGCATGAATTTCAGGGCACGCACCATGGAGGGGTCCATACTATAGGCCAGGTTTTTCAGTGCCTCAATATTCCTGGTCATCTCCCCCAACTTCTCCAACGTTATTTCTTGGTGCTCTTCCTCATCCTCTTTCCCTTTCGCTTCCTCTTCCTTGCCTGAGTCTACTAACTCCTGTAGATCCTCCTCGGTCAGCTCAGTGTCGTGCTCTTCAATTAGCTCCCTAATCTCGTCCTCTGCCATGTCCTGGAAGCCTTCAGCAGCCACTTTCCTTGACAGTGCCAGGGTCTTTCTGAATATTTTCATTAAAATCCATCAAAATCATTTTCCTTGTCATCGTCTTAAGCACCAAACAGCTCCTCCCAGTCTTCTCCTTGAACAGGGCTAGAGGGTACGTGTTTTTCGAATCGTTTTCAATTAAAAAAATGTTACAGCACATGTATATTTTACCTAAACTGTGCCTGAATGAATATATTCTCAGAAATAAAGAGTAGTTTTGCTGAAACGTGATGTATTTCAATGTAAAATAGGATAAAATACATGACGAAAACAAAAGACTTTACCTAACCTTCCAATGTTCAAGAGATGTTACTCGTTTTTTTAATAGTTTTCGGTTAAAATACTGTTATATTACAATGATATTATATTCATACTGTGCTTGATATACTACATTCATGGAAATGTAATATTTTTGCTGAAATGACGTACGTATTACAGTGGAAAGTGACGAAAACAATGACTTTCGCTTTCTTTCGTTCAAAAGATGTTACCGTAATCGCTTTTTGAATGGTTTTCAGTTAAAAAAACTGTTGCATCACAAGCGAATTAGGAGAATATTATTGTAATACAACAGTTTTTTAACTGAAAACCATTCGAAAAGCGATTACGGTAACATCTTTTGAACGAAAGAAAGCGAGTCATTGCTTTTGTCACTTTCCACTGTAATACGTACGTCATTTCAGCAAAATATTACATTTCCATATTCTCAGAAATAAATAGTAGTTTTGCTGAAACGTAATGCATTTCAATGTAAATTAGGATAAACTACATGAAAACAAAAGACTTTACCTAGCTTTCCGATGTTCAAGATATGTTACTCGTTTTTTTAGTAGTTTTCGGTTAAATACTCTTATATTAGTGATATTCTATTCATACTGTGCTTGATATAATACATTCACGGAAATGTAATATTTTTGCAACTACAATGCTGATGTCAACACAAGCGTGGTTACAGCGAGACTGACTGAGTGAGGGAGAGCTATGCGTGTGTGTGTGTGTGTGTGAGGTTGCGGGAGCGGGCGGTGTCCCGTGTTCGGTGCCGCGCGCGAGTTGAATGTACTTCAATTACTTCAATGTACAGAATATTCCTCCGGCGGGGCAATCCGCGTATTTGCAAATCCGTGTATTATAAACCCGCGTATGTTAAGGGCCGACTGTATTACCAATAGTGTTCCATACAAATAATATCTGGATTCTGTACCGCAATAAACTATGTTATAATTTGCTGAGCCAACATCTGGGTCAAACAACCAAGGAAACCATAACAAAGGCCTCACAATAATTTATCACTCATTAATAAAGCTATAAATATTGCCTAACTACATTCTACAATTGCTATATCATAAACACTTTTTGTTCAAGACCACTTTAACATCAATGGTTCACAGGACAACACCTCTACTCAATGGTTCACAGGACAACACCTCTACTCAATGGTTCACAGGACAACACCTCTACTCAATGGTTCACAGGACAACACCTCTACTCAATGGTTCACAGGACAACACCTCTACTCAACTCTGCAACCTTAAAGAGCACAAGACAAAACAACACAGCAGAGCATAACTCCCACAGTAACCCAATACAACCATAGATGCCAACCACCAGACACCCATCACACCATTCAGTAGATACAAGAGCAGCACTAAGGTCACCACCTCCCTAAAGCAACATCAACAACATATCCATCTCACTGAAAAATCCACTGTCCACATAACAACACTGACCCACATACTGGACAAGTCACACACACTCACTCCAGACCTGACATTCACTCAACACAGATAATCTTCCAACATAAGTTTCATTAATTACCTTTGGGAGAACCTGGTAGGTACCTGGTGGCTGACAATGAAAATCTCAAGGCCATCAGCAACAAAAAGCAACAACTACTGTACAACAACAACAGTTTAATAAATGTCCGGCCAACAGCATCCACAAAAGCAGGTCGAACACACATAAATATAGACTGACGGACAAAGGTACGCCTGTATGCCTCTTACGCTTTAATGTTTGGTTATAAATATGTGCATGAAGAATCAGAGTATAGCATAATGAAAATGCTACAAAATACTGGGGAAATAAAGAGGTGTTTTGATGAAGGAAAGCCACAGAGCAAAATGTATCACTTAAAAAAAAGAAAAGAAAAAAAAGGACATTATAATCAGGCAGCAAATGTACACATTTGGGACCTACTGTACTTCAAACTGCATGCCAACTTTTATTTTCTAGTTTTTAACTTGCCAATAGATAAAATAAAACTTGATGCCAACAATCTGTTTGGATTTTAGGCTATAATTTAGAGCAGTCAAATTACGCATTATTACAGTAGAAAATGGGCTCATTAGGGAACAAAAAATAGTAAATATAGGTGACCTAATTCAATTACTTTTTTACAGAAGCACTTGCTTGGGAGTCCCAAATGATAGCGAGTGTAGTATTTCCACACTTGCTTACTTAACATGCCATTTTCAATATTTTCTCAGCTTCAAAGGGAGCATATATCTTGATTTTCACCTATGGTCAAAGACTGTGTTTTAAAGCGTATTCAAGATGCAAATGATGCTCCATCAATGCTCATTATTGATGAGATGTGCTTAGTGAACAAGGTTAATAAAACCCCCAGACATGTCTAATGCTCAACAGTTTTCCAAAAGTTTATAGGCATGATGGACAGCTTGAGCAACAGTTATGATGAACTCAGGGTGGTGTTTGACCAATACATTCAAACCTCTTTGAAAGAAGTAACTTGAGATAAGAGAACTCTGAAGCAAACTCCTATACATTACCATGTCAATGATGATACCGAGATCAAGAACATAACCTATTCTTGGCACACATCACATAATATCTTTCAGAGAAGCTGGTCAAGCACTATCAGGGAAAGTTCTACAGACTTCTGGTCATGCACCATACAACAGTGATAGCCAACTGTCCCAAATCTGAAATTGCAAACATGCAGGCGATGACTACTGGCCAGCACGACCTAGAAGAGGGAGACCAGCTTGTTATTCTCAACGCATTTGACGTAAAGCACAAAAATCCACAGTCAACTCTTCATGTGTTTCAGGAGACACAGATATATAACTATGTTCATGTTCTTACTGGCCTGTATCCTTTATTACCAAGATCAACCCACTGTTAAGAAAGAACAATGAGAAAGTTATGATACAAGACACCTGAGATTGGGAAATAAAAGTGCTGATGCACTGATTGGGTGGTATGCCTTTAAGGGAACTGATAACACAGTGTCATTTGCAGGCAAAGGAGCAGCAAGTCAAATGAAAGATTTTTTGCATGCCGATGAAGATATTCTGGAAGCTTTCACCCAGTTTGGGCAGACAAATGATCTGCCAAATTGGGTCTTTCACCAGATGGAGTGTTATGTGTGCTCATTCTACAGGATCGAGGACATCAATGCTTCCACTCTCCGAGACATCAGATGGAAGTTAATCGCCCAAAAGGGGAAGGAAGGCCAAAAACTGCTGCCTACTTTAGGAACACTTATTCCCCACACCCAGAGGGCACACTACATAAACTTGGTTTGGAAGTCCTCAAGAATACCTTGTCTACAACTTGCTCCACCTGCAGATTACCGCTGGAACATTGTGAACGACTGGTTGCAGCCAGTCTGCTGCCTCAATCTACCCGCTACTGAAGCACTGCTGAAACTTTATCAGTGTACAGTAGCTGCAAAACAGCATGTAACAGAAAGTCGTGTGGATGCCTCAAAAATCAGTTACCATGTACAGATATGTGCGGGTGTGGTGATATATGCATGAACACTGCGAAGGAACAACCTCTTGATGAAATGGATTAATTTCACATTAATAGTACAGTACTGTTTAATGGAAACATAAGTTCATAGCTGGTATCTTAAATTAAATACAACATCTATTTTTTTTTTTATGTATTCAACATGTTTGTCGGCAGTAATGTGTGATTTTTAAATATCGGACAAATGACAATATGTTGCATGCACTTTAACCCTTAGGCCCCGGGTGACGTTCCAGAACGTCCGCCTATTTATATTTATTTATTTATTTTTATTACTTTTGTTAAAGTTCATTTTGTTCTTGATTTATCCCCCAGCGCCGGGGTGGGGGTTACTGCCAGCAGCACCCTAACCCGGGACTTAAGGATTAAGTGCATGTACACTCTTTTTGATGCATTTTTGTAAATTTTTGAAAGTCTTAAAAGTTAAACTGGACTATAAACATAGATGGATTAATGGGTGGTCCAGGGGGGGCAATTGTTGCAGAAAAGTTCATATTCTTTCTTTTGAACACTATGAGGGAGCATTTATAGCAATTTTCGGGTTCTTAATTATACACCCATTTTTTTAAGGAAGGCGGCAAATGTAGGAGTGGCAACAAGTTATATTTCATTAATTGACATGTTCTTAAAGATAAACCACTGAGAAGCAAAAGTTGGCAGAGTTTTAAAGTACGTTACATATGCTTATTGACTTTTACCCACTGAGAAAATGGAGTAGAGTACAGGAGTATGACCTCAGAAGTCTGCAGTGTATACTTAATGGAACCTATGTACATTACTGTACATTATAAGTCAAGAGCCTCTTTACTGTACTGTCCTACAGGACTTACTAATTGTACATACCTTTCTTCCTGCTCTTCCTCTTCACCTTCCTCTTCCTCGTCCTCCTCATCCCCAACCTCCACCATATTATGGAACATACCCACCAGGCCAGCACTTGTGTTCACCCGGTCGTGGGAGGCATTCACCGGGTCCTGGGTCGTCTCCACCGGGTCCTGGGTCGTCTCCACCGGGTCCTGGGTCGTCTCCACCGGGTCCTGGGTCGTCTCCAGTAGGTCCTGGTCGGAGTCGGTGATCACCACCACGTCACTATCTTCCAGTGCCCGACTCGCATCTTCGGCCGCTGAACGTGTCAGAGTTCTGTGAAGGACACATATACATACAGTACTGGTAGCTACCTATCTAAACAATAACTACCTGACACACACTACAGTATACCCTCTAACCTGCCCCATAAGCCATGCCCCTCTTCTATACTAATAGCTGATTGGTTCATAGAAAATTCAAACTATGTAAATATGTTCACAATTGGTAAGCAGACCTGTTATTATCTAAAATAATGTTAAATACTGTATATGGATTATCAAAATGCAAATCATTTCAATGCATTAGCACTTCAGAGAGGATGTTAGAAAAAACAAACATTATTATAAAAGGTTGATATAAATACTACACGCTTATATACGCACAGTCCAGGGGGAGGTAAAACGCTCAGGAAAAACCAATCGGCTATTTGTGGCTATACTTTTTCTTTTTTTTTTTTACTTTTATCCTCTTCACCACTGATCGGCTCATTAGCCACTTGGCCGGTCGGTCACGTCTGTCACGAACTATTGGCAAGTACTGGGCATGCACCGGCTCCTGAATGTATCTGAACCTGCTCCAGTGTTGGTCAAGTCTGGTCTTGAAAGAGCTCACACTTGGTGTCGTCACAACACTCTCTGGTAGATTGTTTCAAGAGTTCGCAACTCTCACTCCGAAAAAGTTTGCCCTCACAGTTTTCTGGACTTGCAGTTTTTTCAACATTGAGTTGTGACCCCTTGTGGGGCGTGCGTCCGCCAGCTCCAGGTAAGGACACTCGACTGAGTAGTGCCCTTGGATATGTTTATACACCTCAATTAAGTCACCCCTTGCCCGTCTGTAGTATAAGCTAGGCAATTGCAGGCGCTCTTAATCTCTCAAGGTAGTTGAGGTGCCGAAGTGTAGTCACCAGTCTGGTGGCCCTCCTTTGAACATTTCCAACCAACTGACAATCCCTAGCATATCTCGGGGACCAGAAGGGGTGACAGTGCTCCAGATTGTTATGAGGAAAGGACCATCTAGATATTTGAAAGACCTTCTTTTAAGACCTAATAATTTAGTTGCCTGATTCACCGTCTCACAATGGCCCAAGAACTTCAGTCCATCGTCAACATACACACATAGGTCCTTTTCACATTCAGTCTCAATTAACCCCTACGCCTCGGGTTAGGGTGCCGCTGGCCATACCCCCCACGGCCCACATGGAGGTAGAGCGAGAAAAATTAACTTTTCCAAAAATAATTTTTAACCTTTTTAAATGATAAAACAAACAAAAAGAAGTAAGATAAACTATATATTGACCCTCTCAAAACTTTCATGGGGCCGCAGTGGTGAGAGAGATAAAGGGACAGCTTGTTTTGACAGCGAGGGCTCGTGGACACTTACGCACTTAACGGCCATTTTCTGCTTGCCTTTGTGTCCGAGATGGCCAGTAATGCATGTATATTTACTGATCATAATACTTATTTCCTATAAATAATTCATTTAGAATTTATTTTACTTGCATTATTTTTCATAAAAAGTCTGTCACCAGGCTGTTTAGCTGTCTTTGTGTTTGGGAGAGCAAGTAATGCATAGAAATAATTATCGGAATAATAATTCCACACAAATACATTTATAACATAATCTTAGCATTAGTGTCCAGTAATACTACACTACAATAGAACTACACTAATTTTAGCAATATTAATTTGATACAACATGATAAAATGAACAAACGACTCTCCAAGACGACAGGCTAATGCGTACTAACCACACTTAGCCCACCCACGCTACCCTGCGTGACCACCAAATAGTCATACTGGAAACTGATAACCCGCGCTGGGCATTCAAACAATGGCGCAAAAAGGCGTGCGTTCCGGAATGTCAACCAGGGCGCCCTAGATGAACGTTCCAGAATCTCAACGGGGGTATAGGGGTTAACGCAGTTTCTTCGTCTGTTGGGACACATGACACGCTTCCTTACTTTTGGCACGCCCCAGGTGCAGCCTCTTACACTTTGTGACGTTGAATCTCAGTAGCCATTTCTTCGACCATTCTTGAAGCTCACAGAGATCCTTCTGCAGCTCTTCACAGTCTGCTTGGTTTTTAATTTCCCGAAATAACTTGGCGTCATCTGCAAACATTTATATGGAGGAGTGTACAGCTTTTGGCATGTCATTTATGAAACAAACAAACGACAGCGGGCCCAATACACCGCCCTGTGGTACCCCGCTTATGAAGGGTACTTATGACGATTTCGTGCCATTAAACACAACACACTGCTTGCGAACATGGAGAAAGTCTCCGATCCACGCTAGGACACTTCCCCGAATCCTGTACCCTTCCAGTTCAATTTTCAGCCTTTCAAAGGGTACACTGTCAAAAGCCTTGGCAGAGTCTAGGTATATATTGTCGATATTACCACCCTGTTCCAGAATTTGAGTCCAAACATCCAGTACCTTGAGTAATTGTGTTACGCAGGAGTGTCCTGGCATAAAACCGTGTTGGCAATCCTTTACAAGGTTGTTTCGTAGTAGATGTTCCATCATGGCGTCTCTTATAATGCTTTCAAGTACTTTACATACTATGCTGGTCAGGCTCATTGGTCTATAGTTATTCGTGGAATGACGATCGCCCTTCTTAAATATAGGACTCACATAAGCCATTTTCCAATCACCGGGGACGTTTTGTTCATTTAGGCATTTACAGAACTAGATCTTCAGGGGCTCAGCAAGCTTGTTGCACAACTCTCTTAGCACTCTAGGATGCACCACGTCAGAGCCAGAACTCTTATGAACCTTTAGCTTTGACAATATCTTTTTTATAACCTTTTCTGTGAACACAATGTGGGGCAATGCTGTGTCAAACCATCTGTCCTCAAACGCAGGAAGATTGTTCGCATCCTCCCTTGTGAACACCTAGGAAAAGACTCGGTTCAATGCCTCCGCTCTGTTCTGGTCAGAATCTGCATAACTACCATCTTCAAGCTTCAGGTCTGATACTCCTACCAGTGTTTTTAATTTCGACTTTGCGTAGCGGTAAAACGCATTTGGGTTTGACTTGACCTCACTTGCAACCAGCCTCTGGAACTCCTTTTCAGCCCTTCTACACTTTGACTTTGCTTGGTTCCTGGATCTTGCATACATCCTCCTGTCCTGCTCATCGTTTGACCTAACCCACGCCTTGAATTTCTGGGTTTTCTTCTTAACTTTGTTGACCGCCGCATGATTCATGTGAAGGGATCCCCTCGTATTCCTAGAGGCACTGGGTTTGGTCTTGGGTATATATTTCTTGATCAAATAAATCACTTTACCAGCTATGATATTCAGCGTAGTGTCTGCGTTCTTATACCTTAAGAGTCAGGCCAGTTGTTGCCCCTCATCTCCTCCCACATCCCGTCATAATTTCCATTGTAATATTTGAACCTTGGCCTGGTTTTATTGTCAAACAATTAACAGTTAAATCTGAAGGACAACACTGCATAGTGGCTGGAGCCAACTGGGGCTACATGCTCCAGCTTGGCCATCATACCCTCCTCGTTAGTTATGATGAGGTCCAGTGACTTGGGTGTTTGCTCCCCTCTGTAATACGTTGGGTCCTAACATATTGGAACAGAAAATTATCTCTCAGAGATTCTACAAAAAGAGTAGCGGGATTACTTAGGTCATTTGCCGTGGTTTCATTTCCCCAGTTGATGTCGCCATAATTAAAGTTTCCCATGACAAGAAAGAGGCTAGGGTTGAGCACCGTTGCATTGTCTATTAAGGCTCTTAAGTGTCTTTGGTTAAATAAGCTACAGTTTGGGGATCTGTAGATACACCCGACAATAAGTAAGTCTCTCCCCTTTAATTTAATTTTACACCACTTGGATTCTTCAAAAACATCCTCTCCCTGTACCCTCGCCTGTCTGGCTCTAAGGTCTTGCCTAGCATAGATAACCAAACCCCTCTTGCAAGTTTCTTGAGAAAGGTTCATAAATGAGTCATATCCAGCAATACTGAATTCACATTCCTCTGGGTCAATTCTCCTGTTCTTGTACAACAGTTCTACAACTCCTACAATATCTGGTTGGTATACTCTCAGTAGTGTTTCAAACTCCTCTCTCTTATCAAGGAACGTGTCAGTATTAGTGTACTTTCAAGCCGGAATTTGTTCTTGGTAACGTCTCTGCTCTTGGTAGTGACTCCGGCCCCCCCTCCATTCTCAGCAGGTGCAGCATTTGCTATATACATTGCATTTTCCTGGGTGTGGTTAGAGATATCATTGTTTACATGGCGCTCGCTTCCTCCTGGGTGGGAGGTAGACCTAGTGCCTCCTCCTGGGTGGGAGGTAGAGCTGGTGCCTCCTCCTGGGTGGGAGGTAGAGCTGGTGCCTCCTCCTGGGTGGGAGGTAGACCTAGTGCCTCCTCCTGGGTGGGAGGTAGACCTAGTGCCTCCTCCTGGGTGGGAGGTAGAGCTGGTGCCTCCTCCTGGGTGGGAGGTAGAGCTGGTGCCTCCTCCTGGGTGGGAGGTAGAGCTGGTGCCTCCTCCTGGGTGGGAGGTAGAGTGGGTGAGGGCGTACCGCTGCCCCCTGGCTCTGTGCTGGCACTCTTGCTTCCACTACCCTCCCCCTGGATATAACCCATGTACACCTATTCCTCCTCAACTCCTCCCTCCTCTGCTTCAAGCCCTGCAGGAGCTTCTTGCGCTGTTCTCTCGGCATTACCGTGCGATCTGGGTGAATGAATACACTCTGAAATGCCTCGCTCCTTGCTAAGTTTTTTGCCTGGCGAATAACCTCCCATTTCTTCTCCTCTCTCACTAGTGTGATCCTCAGGGGGCAAGGCTTGTCCTCCTGCTTTTGTCCCAGCCTCCTCACATCCTGAGGGGGGACCGGCATACTGTATTCAGAGCCCCTGTAAAAATATTCTCAAAATGCAACTTATCGTGATTTTCCTACTCTCAGCTTCCTCCAACTGGCTCTCCAGGACTCCAAAAACTGTTACATTGTTCCTGTAGACAAAGCCCATCCGGGCGCAGGTCACCGACCCACATCTGGGCCTGTATGTAAACAGCAAGTCCTCTTTTAACATTGTTTCA